TTGATATATAAAAATAGAGGACTATTTATAATCGAATGGCGAAGTTTAGAAGATTTTTAAGACATCTTTGGGAAAATAAATACGAGAATTGATATATAAAAATAGAGAACTATTTATAATCGAATGTCAAGGTTTAGAAGGTATATTTTTGAAACATCTTTGGGAAAGTAAATATGAAAATTAATATATAAAAATAGAGGATATTTTTATATATATATTTTATAAAATATATTTATAGTCGAATGGCGAGATTTAGAAGGTATATTTTTCAGATATCTTTGGGAAATAAATATGAAAATTGATATATAAAAAGAGAACTATTTATAATCGAATGGCGTTGTTTAGAAGATATATTTTTCAGACATCTTTGGGAAAGTAAATACGAGAATTGATATGTAAAAATAGAGGACTATTTATAATCGAATGGCGTTGTTTAGAAGATATATTTTTGAAATATCTTTAAGTAAATAATAGAATTGATATATAAAAATAGAGAACTATTTATAATCGAATGTCAAGGTTTAGAAGGTATATTTTTGAGACATCTTTGGGAAAGTAAATACGAGAATTGATATATAAAAATAGAGGAATATTTATTAATCGAATGATATAGTTTAGAAGATATATTTTTCAGATATCTTTTTGGGAAAATAAATACAAGAATTGATATATAAAAATAAAGGACTATTTATAATTGAATGTCGAGGTTTAGAAGATATATTTTTCAGATATCTTTAGGAAAATAAATATGAGTATTGATATATAAAAGTAGAGAAGATATATTTTTGAGATATCTTTAGGAAAATAAATATGAGAATTGATATATAAAAATAAAGGACTATTTATAATCGAATGGTGTTATTTAGAAGATATATTTTTGAGATGTTTGAAAAAATAAATACATGTTTGGAAAAGTAAATACGAGAATTGATATATAAAAATAGAGGAATATTTATCAATTGAATGATATAGTTTAGAAGGTATATTTTTGAAACATCTTTGGGAAAGTAAATATGAAAATTGATATATAAAAATAGAGGATATTTTTATATATATATTTTATAAAATATATTTATAGTCGAATGGCGAGATTTAGAAGGTATATTTTTCAGATATCTTTGGAAAAATACATATGAGAATTGATATATAAAAAGAGGACTATTTATAATCGAATGGCGTTGTTTAGAAGATATATTTTCGAGACATGTTTGGAAAAGTAAATACGAAAATTGATATATAAAAATATTGGTCGAAGATTATTAAATGCAATCGAAGACTTGGAATATATAAGGTATTGGTATATTCGCGAAATACCTTTGAAACATCGATTTTGAAGATCGAAGTGAATACGATATATATAAATGTCGATCGATTATTTATTAAGTTATAAGTGTATTAAGCGAACTAAAAAAAGTAAACGACTGCACAATTGTACAATCTTTGATATCTTATGAGAAAGAAATATCGCTTACTAACAAAAATTACAGGAACAAAACCAATTCATTCGTGGTTTATATTTTTCATCCTCTGAATCGAAATTAATATTTAATTAACCCAAGAGAATATCTATACATTAACAAATATAAATACAAATAAATTCACGAACGATTATTATAATTTACCAAAGAAATATCTTTTACTTAATATCCCAAACCATTATTAAACCAAACACTTCATCGCCTACAAAGCAAATCACTATAGAAACCGTGACATCTAAAATACGGCGAGCCATCATCTCTAAAAACCGTCCGGGAAGAAGAAACATCGTTGTTTCCATCGTTGATTTCTCCTCTTATTTTCCCGATCCACTAACTCCACCCTCCTCCTCCTCCTCCTCCTCCTCCTCCTCCTCCTCCTCCTCCTCCTCCTCCAACCCCTTCCCTTGCGGAGACGTCGACGCAATAATTCTCGAGCGAACTGTACATAATGGAATATTACACGGGCCATTAAAGAAACGTTAATCTTGGCCACAACAAGTTCAGAAGCGCTTACAGGATGCTCAAACGCGGCCTGGGATTATACTTTGTACACCGGCTTTGATCCTCCGCAACCCTGGAGGCTGTGCCCCTCTCACTCTCTCTCTCTCTCTCTCTCTGCTCGACCCTCCACCCTTCCGTAATTTGTTAAAGCGCTAAATTCCGCGATCGTCCCGCTCCTCGTGCCGAAAGAGAGCCAAAAAAGATTTTGCGGAGCACACCTCGAATACTCACGTTTCTTAATCTCGAGAAGAAGCTTTCTTCGGCAAGAATTAGAATGCAACGTGTGAATTTATCGCGTTTTAGAGAGGATATTGTTGGAAAGGAATGGAATTTTATTTGGAGGCAAGGAGGAGAGAATATTTACTCGGGAATAATAATTATTTCGTCATTTGCAATCGTGTTGTTCGGGAAAATTGTCGAATAGACTCGTTGAAAGAGCATCTTCGAGATTAAGTAAGTAATTTTGTAAAAATATTTTATATCCGTTTCTGAGTTTTTCAATACGGTACATTTTAAAGAAATGAAAACGATATTTTTTATTTACGTATTTTTTTAATAGAATAATGTCTGCACCGTTATTTCTAATTCTCGTTACATTTAATCTTATGCGATATACATTGTTACAGGTAAAAGAATTAATATCCCGTCCATTACAAACATATTACACAAAAATCCTTCCACTTATTCATTATCCAACTATTATATTATTAATACAATATATACATATTATTATATATATATATATATATATATATATATATATATATACATATATGGAATAATATATTATATTATTTCCAACGATTATTCAAAGGAAAAGAGAAATGGAAATATTTTTTACCGTGTATTTATTCAATAGAATTAATTGAATAATACCGATGACTCGTTTTTTTTTCTACGATATTACTCCAAATTCCCATTGAATTCGTTTTACGTTTAATCTCCACTTGACACATCCCACGTAAAAGATAAGATTATCCATCGCGCAAAAATCCTTGGACCCTGCACCAACGGGCCAATACGTATCATTTCCAACGAAGAAGAAAAAAAAGAAAGCGAAAAAGGAAAAGAGGGAGGGGAAAAAAAAAAAAAACACCTGTTATCCCCTTTTCTCCTCCGGAATTCCTCTCCTTTATCCAAGCATCTTGGATACGCGCTACACACACCTCGAGGCCATTATCGAGGGCGCGAGGGAAAGGAGAGGAGGCGAGAGGAGGCGAGAGAGGAGAGAGAGAGAGAGAGAGAGAGAGAGAGAGAGAGAGAGAGGAGGAGGGAGAGACGGAGTCGCGAAGAAAGGCGGCGAGAGGAAAAGAGAATTTAGCGACCCTCTTTCGCTTTTTACCCCCCCGGAGCGGGAGCAAGAGTCGAGAGCCCCTTAGCCACCGTTTATTGGACGCATGCAAATATCCATGGCAACGAGGGACCACCATGAGAGGCGACCCCCGTCGCGAGCTCTTTTTGCGTATTAGTGGGTGGAGTGCGCAAAGTCTTGCGAAGATATCGCGGAGGAGAGAGAGAGAGAGAGAGAGAGGGGAAGGGAGGTCGAGCCTTTGGGAAAAATTTCCTTTTGATCCGCGATTCCTATTCCTCCCATCGCCGCCCTATTTCTTAATTGATTCCCTTTGTCTCGCGAATTTATCTCTGCTCGACCGAATTTCGTTGCGTTTCTTGCAACAACAATTGCACGGCTTGCGCTTATCTTATTATTATTATTATCATCATCTTGGTCGATTTTTAGTTATTGAAGGATGTTCGGTTTTTGTATATTTTAATTTTTCACGTAAATTTACGAAATTTACCTCTTTTAAAGAATTTTGGTGAAATTTGTTTTAATTACGATATTATAAATTATTTAAAAATTCACAAAATATTTACATAATAAATTACAGGATTGCGATCAGAATCGTGGTTATTCGTTTTAATCAGTTTCATCGAAGTATGGTTCAAAATGGAAGATTTCCTTTTTACATTTTAATTTTCCACGTAAATTCAAAGATCCATTGCTCCAACATTTGAAATATCGATTATTTAAAAGTTCACGGAATATAGGATTGTGAACAGAATCGTGGTTATTCGTTTTAATCAGTTTCATCGAAGTATGGTTCAAAATGGAAGATTTCCTTTTTACATTTTAATTTTCCACGTAAATTCAAAGATCCACTGCTCCAACATTTGAAATATCGATTATTTAAAAAAGTTCACGGAATACAAAAGATAGAAAATTTATACGGGGTTTCACGCGAACCGTGTAATTTAATTATTTCGCACGTAATTTTTTGAGCGTGGGATGACAAAGAGAGAGAGAGAGAGAGAGAGAAAAGGTAAGCAAGCTTTAGAACCCGTCACGAGTCATCGAATCTCGTCCATTTCTCTCGCGATCGTAGTTTCAAATGGGCCGACAACGATGGAATTTCGCGTCGTTTCCGTTTATACACACGCCTCGCAAGAGAAAACTGATATACATCCACACGCACCCCTCCTCCCTCCGCGTGGATCTATGCAAACGGTCTCTTTCTCTCTCTCTCTCTCTCTCGTGCGTTGTGCACCCGAAAGCACGACAGCAGCGTTCAACGCGATACGCCTGCGCACTCACGACGACCTCCACCCTGCGAAACTCGGCCTCCATTACGCGCGTGTTTCGCGACACGCTTTATAAACCGTCGCCCTTGTTACCGTGGAAAGCATCATTGAACCCCCCGCCTTTTTTGCGCCTGTTTCGTTTAATGTTCCGTTTAACGCGGCAGTTAACAGCGATCCTTCGAATTCTTTCGTCGTGGAATTTTTTTTTTTTTTTTTTTTAACAAATTTACTTTATCCCTATATTTTTTTGCTCGTTGCTTCGAAATTCTTCTCGAAGAAAGACTCGGTTTAGACTTCGATTCCACGTTTTTTCTACCCGATTTCCTTTGGAACGGATCGATTGCAATGGATCGGTTTTGGAAAATCACCCCGTTTTTTCAAAAGGATTTTTTTAGAAAATTTTAGTATCGGAGTATCGAGAAGTTGAGAAAAGGTACTCACACTGGGAATGTTGTCGTTCGTGCATACGCCTTCTTGGAGCAAGCGGTCTCTGATCTCCCACGCGAAGATGGAAGGGCACTCGCTCTTGTAGAGGGAAATCTTGCTCACGACCTCGGCGGTGGCGACGCGGGGCTTGCTGCCACCGATGGCTCTGGGCCTGATCGACCCGGTTTCGTAGTACCTGCAATAATAATAATTTGCGGTACAATACGGTACACAACAATACGGTTTGGGAATAAATGGAGCTTTTTTTGTTTTTTTTTTTTTTTATGAAAATTGTGAAATTTGCAAGGAGAGGGGAAGGGAAGAAACGAGCAATATTTCAACCAACCTTCCAAGGATCTTGGAGACGCAGCCATTGCTAACCTGCAGTATCCTGGAGATGTCGCAGGGCCTCGCGCCGGAATGAGCCAACTCGACGATCTTTTGCCTGGTCGAGTCTGGAAGCGGTCTACCGCCGACGAACACACCCCCGAGCTGATTCACGCCACTGTGACCTGTGCGTGGAATCAGACACACGCTTGCATGTTAAATATCAACAGATCTCGTTCGTTACTTAAGAATCGAGAATTTTTAGTTATCGAACTTTCTGCCAGATTTTATCGACTCGATTCGATTTCGAAAGGTTTTCGAAAGATATCGAAATATATTAGTGATTCTAAATTTTACTGATACTTAGTTAAATTGGTCAATTAATGGAATATAAAGGATACTAGATCTTTTAATATCTGAGAAATTCGTTATTATTTCGACAGATTTATTTCGAAAGATTTTTAAGATATCTAATTAAAAATATATTAGTGATTCTAATATATCAGTGATACTTGAAATTGGCCAACTAAAGATACTTCAAAAAATTTTCAAGGTATCTAATATTAGTGATTGTAAATTTTAGGTCAGTGATACTTGAAAAGTGAAATTGGCCAACTAAAGATACTTTAAAAAATTTTCAAGATATCTAATATTAGTGATTCTAAATTTTAGGTCAGTGAAAAAAGTGAAATTGGCCAACTAAAGATACTTTAAAAAATTTTCAAGATATCTAATATTGTGATTATAAATTTTAGACCAATAATATACACTCAAATTGATCAATTAAAGATATTAGATTTTTCAATATCTGAGAAATTCGATTACGATTTATTTCGAAAGATTTTCAAGATATCTAATTAAAAATATATTAATGATTCTAAATTTTAGGCCAGCGATACTTGAAAAGTGAAATTGGCCAAGATACTAAATTTTTTTAATATTCGAGAAATTCCTTATTCGATTATTTTATATTTTTACGTACGCAACGCAACAATATCTTGTAGTGCCATTATAGAAAATTATATATACTCTTTTTAGAATTTTTCTCAACAACGAGGAATATAACGTCGTAATTCACTTTTTTTTTTTTTTCTTTCTTTTCACCGTTCCTCGAAACTGTCGATCGAAAAAAAGAAGAAGAAGAAGAAGAAGAAAAAGAGGAGGGGTACGTCTCCTTTCTTCTCGAAACTCTGAAAGAGGGTGAAGGTAGGGGTTGGCTGCAGGCGTTAACACGTTAGCGAATCCCGTCGTAGATAATCTTCGACTCATTGTGTCGATGACACGCACGAAACCTTCACCCAACCTTCCTCGCGAAATCTTTTATACCGCCACCCGTGAACAACACCCGTGCCACGCCCTTAATTTTTTATCCCAGGATAGGCCTTCAACCAACCACAGATACACGGACAATTGTAAAAATCGAGAGATCGAGAAACGTAAGAAATCTAATTTTCAATTTTTAAATTAAAATTTTTCAGAGAAGAATTCAATGAATTCAATTCAATTCAATTCGTATAGCAACATGAAAACTCGAGAAAAATAATACGAAATGTACGTGAAATGTACACACATGTTGAAAAAAAAAAGAATGGAAAACGGTTGAGCAGATATTTTTTTCCTATTTCTTTCACTTGGTCGTTGAAAGATCGGTTGAAAAAGAATTTTCCAGACAGAGTTAATTCGACACGTCGTCGTCGTCGTCGTCGTTGTCGTCGCCGTTGCCGGCTACCCGAGTTATATAAGGGAGATTCATGAGCGTATTGCGATTGACGAAAGGGGGGGGGTCTCACGGTCGATTGACTTTCGAAAATGGGCCTGCCGCGCGCGATTCGCCGACCACCGACTCCTAGTTTTATATATATATGCCGACACGAGTGTTCCTTTTCATTCGAAAAGGACCTCTTCCCCTCCCCTCCCCTCCCCTCCCCTCCTCTCGCCGTATCTCACCGATCGAGAACGCGTAAATTGGTTAAACGTTTCGTGCACACGTTTCGCCGTATTTTATTATAAAACGAAGGGATGGCCCCTGGGAAATGGATTCGGATCTTTCTCGAGAGAAACGTGTTATTTTTTTTTTTTTTTTTTTGGCTTCTCCCCTCTTAGATTAATCATAGAAGGGAAAGAAGAGATGTTTGTGTTTAATAAAATTTTTTAGAAATTTAAAAATTTCTAGAAATATCATCAGAAAGTGGATATTTGGATCGTAAGAAATTTGCGCAATGAAATAAAGTAATATTTTTATTAAAGAAAAATCAAAAGAAAATCGAAATTATCGAAGTTTTAATAAGTGATACGATCAGATCGATCGAATGAATAACGTTGAATGAAAAAATAAACATGTAAAAAGAGAAAAGAGAGGAAAAGTGTCCCCGTAAAAAAAAAAGAGGGGGGGGACACCACCTGACGGATTCGAAGCAGCGAGGAACAAACATGGAAGGGGACAGAGAGAGAGAGAAAGAGAGAGAGAGAAAGAGGGGATGGGCTAATGAAGTCCTAATAAACGGAAAGCTTTAGAGTCACCACCCTTCCTACTGATATTTAATACAAACGTTACAATATCAAAACACGCGCTCAGCTCGCAGAATGGCCACTCGAGCGCACCCCTTGGTCGCGCGCGGGGCTAATACGCCGCTGGATTATTCTCTCCTCCTTTACTTTCGACGGTATACTACCCTTCACCCACTCTTGTAGATAAACAGAAGCGAGCGCCAAAGCTAAATCGCACGATCCGGCTAATAATCCCCCTTTTATCCCTCCTTTCCTTTCATCCCTCTTTTTTATTTGGTTATTATAGAAATTGTAAAGGATGGATGCTATTTTTTTCTTCTTCCTCCTCTTAATTCGTTCACGCGCTTCTTCCCTCCTTATTTTTCTTTCCCTTTTTCCGATTTTCTAATGTTCCTCTCTCTCTCTCTCTTTCTCTCTCTCTCTTGGTTAAACAGAGATTTACAATGGGAACGTTGAAACGGAACGAGAGCAGAAACTAGCGCTCTAGAAAATACAGGCTGTTTGCCCGAGTTATTATCGCTCGTTAAGGACTGGCATTCGAAACTCGGCGTTTCGCCGTCTTCCACCGTGCCCCTTCCATGAGAGAGAGAGAGAGAGAGAGAGAGAGAGAGAGAGAGAGAGGAGAGAGAGAGAGAGAGAGAGAGACTCAGCGACATTTGCCCCCGTTGCGTTTTTTGTTTGTTTCCCTTTGTTACCTCGCGTAGCCCTTTCTTCCTTGATTTATGAACGCCGATGTGTTAATAACTCGGTATAATCGACTACGTGTTAGTTACGTATAGCTTACGTTGAATCTAGATAAACTTGGTTTCCTCGAAATGCAAACAATTTTGTTCGACGCGTTTTTTTCAAATTTATATAACGTTTGTTATTATTATTTAAATCGTGCAACAAATTTTGCATCTGTTTGAGAATGTTCAGATCTTGTCAAATCTGTAAATTCGAAAAAATCTTCCCTTCCACTTCTTTCTGGCAAGAGTTGCATAGAGAGGAACGATTAACGCCATCCCGATTAACGAAAACTTCCTCCCCTCTGGCTGTTGAACGAAAGATTCATCGTTGGCCAAGACTTTCCCTCGACATGACACCATGATAAATTACGTTCTACGTAGAATCTCGTTTAATCGATAATTGATCACCGTTCTCCTTTTGTTTTTCATGATAACGAATCAGCCCATTATACCGTTACTCTACGAACGAAAAACCGAGAAAAAACCCTTCCTTGGAATTTAATCGAGGACGATGGCTCGTCCATATTTTTTTCTTTTTTCTTCCCCTCTTCTTTCCATTNTTTTTTTTTTTTTTTTTTTTTTTCGTTCAAAGATAAATGGTCAGGTTCGTATAAACAAAGTGTAGATAGAACGTTCTTCTTCCTCGATGATAGGGCACCTCGAGAAATGGCTGGTGTATCTATGCAGACGGGAGAAAAAGAGGGGAAGCTCGTTTACAAACGAGAAACAGAGCCTCGGTGACGCGACGGCTCAGACGGCACATTCATCATCCGAGCGACTTCTTATTCCGACGTCCTTCCTTTTGCCGCTTCCTCCTTCTCCCCTTTTTTACTCTTTATCCAAGTTCCAGGTGGTCCTCCCGTTTCACGGTGTAATGTAATCAATTACACGGGACGATGGCGCGAACCGGCCGAGGTATTGGAATTTAGGCTCGACCCTTTGAATTTTCGGCTCGAGCGTTAAGCGGATACATCGTTTTAATTGATTGTCCCGATTCTCGCCGATAAGCTTATTACATATTTGCCAGTAGATTTTTATTTCTTTTCTTTCCGCCAATTAAAAATTTAAAAAACTTTGGACCGCTGTAACTCGGAGGATAACGATTCTTTATCAACGAACGAAAGCCTGTTAAAAGCGCGATACTTTGCGCTTTGAAACGCTCTTTCATTTATTCCGATACGACTTCCGGTTCCCGAGATATCCTCGCGTAAAGAAAAGTTAATTTTTAATCGTTCACCTTAAACTAGCAATTTTACATCGAATCTTATTAAAATTAGAAAAACTTTGAACCGCTATAACTCCGAACGTAGTGATTCGTTATCGATGGGTGAACGATCGTTGGAAGCGCAAAATCTTGCCCTTTAAAACGTTTTTTCGTTTATCTCGATACGACTTCCGGTTCCCGAGATATCCTCGCGTAAAGAAAAGTTAATTTTTAATCGTTCACTTTAAACTAGCAATTTTACATCGAATCCTATTAAAATTAAGAAAACTTTGAACCGCTATAACTTCGAACGTAGTGATTCGTTATCGATGGGTGAACGATCGTTGGAAGCGCAAAATCTTGCCCTTTAAAACGCTTTTTCGTTTATCTCGATACGACTTTCGGTCCCTGAGATATCTTCGCGTAAAGAAAAATGTAATTTTTACTATCTCCGTTCGTTTACTCGATCTCGTTCGCATCTCGTCTCACTGACCCATCTCAAATTCCAAACAAACAACTGACTGGACATAATTCCTGCAAAAACGCGTTTTATTACGCGTTTCAAGGAAAAATATATAGGTCACGAGCCCGTTCGTAATCTCCATTAGCTAATACGTTAAACAGAACAAACTTTGACTCTTTGTATCTCGGCAACGGATCGAGATATCGGGATGAAACAAAAACCGATTTCAATGGTATAACTTTCTCTGTTTCTCTCAAGGGTGGATTTCAAAATCTTTAATTT